CTCCAACACCTGGAAATGTTCCCTCGTGAGCGTGTGATAGAAAACATATAGATCAATAAAATACAAGTCTGTGGAAAATAATGATGAATGTGTTAGTAAAATACGTACTTCTGGAACGGATACTTCACTGTCTTGTTCAGCTAATTTTTTTCCTTCTAAATTCCATTTAATTTTTGATTAAAAAAGAAAATGATTAAAATAACTAACCACCAAGTTTTGGTTCTATTTCTGCATTTTTTTTTGTTACTGAAGGTGCTTGACCAATTGGAGAAAAATTTATCCAAAACCACATTGGAAATATAAGAATGGCACTCAATAGGATCTATTCAATAAAAAAAAAACATTCGTATCATATTGATCTAATTCTTCTTACTAACTTTTAGATACTTTGGACAAGTAAAGAATCCCCATGAAACTTCACGTGGTGTTATTTCTCCATAAAATTGTCTTGTAACCCATTTTTGACAAACAGGATGTGCCATAAAATCCCGATTATCAGCACGATAAGCTAATTCAACAATTGTCATATAATTCCAATCCTTAATTAAAATACTTCTTATCTCTTAGGAACTTTGTTTTTTTTTTAACAATTTTTACTGGATGTCTTTCATCAAGCATTTCAAATGTTCTGTTATTATCTTCATTGTATGATTTATCAAGAATGCCTACAGCCCAATCGGAAAATTCTCTGAAATAAATAAAAGAATCGTATTTAAGACGAAAAATAAACAGAACTTTTTTTTTTTTCAAAATTTACTTGGCTTGTTTTATTGTCAATGATTTTAGATAAGATTCATGACAATATGGTGCTAAGTTTTTAAACATCATACAACAAATTAATGCTAATGGAATAGGTTCTGATGAACGTTTCCAAAGAATTTTTGCTAATTTATGTCGATTCATTAATACAGCATAAATAATTAAATGTTGAAGAGACTATTTTAAACAAAAAAACAATTTCTGTGAAAACATTAAACAAAAAAAACATATTTTACTGTTTTTTCTGCTCTTATCTTTGGTTTCTGAATATCTTTGTCTGATATATCACCAAGATAAATTTCTGCAGCATTATTATCCATTTCACTTTTACAAAAAAAATTACTAATACCGATCAAACGTTTAATAATTTCATTAAGATCCTTTTCAATAAAATCTTCTTCTACTTCTTCTTCATCCTATTTAATACAAAATAAAAAAAAACAAAAAGAAAATGAATATCAAACAATTCTTTGTCTTATTTACTCCTGTTAAACTACGAACTCCTTCAAGTGATGTTATTATGAAAAAATCTTTATCTTTTGCTTGATTAAATAAGTTAATTAATTTTTTTGAGTTTAAATATCGATGTAGAACAAATTCTCGATCAAGAAATAAATCAACAAATGATTCAAGATTTTCTTCGAGTATGGCTTTATCAAATAATTTTGTATGTATAGAATATTTCAAACCATCATAACGTTGAAAAATTTCTGATAAAACTAAATCCGGTAAATTCCAATCAAGTGTTAATAGAAGATTTTGTTTTATTTGAGCATTTCGCTTTAATT